TGTGTTCAGAAAACCCTACATTGCGTCAGCGTTTTCACCTAGCAAGACAATATCGTTTGTATACTCGAAATCAACCAGGTGTTCCTCAAGGAGTCGATCTATCCCTGTGAAGTCAGATGTATCTAAAGTTATGTTATGTTATGTTCATTCGTGCATCTATAACGAAGTTAAATGGGGACGCTGAATGTGGACATCCCTGATGGACATAACTAGTTGTCCTCAGTTCACATGACAACTCTCCATAAACCCTTAAAAGACTACGTGAGTTAGAGTAGAGAGATTTGATAGGCATTATATGCTTGCTTGGTATACCTTTCATAGTCAGACATTGTCACAAAACCTCATGATCGACTGAGCCAAATGCCACCTTCACATCAACAAATATGGCAAGTGTCAGCCACTGGCCAGTAAGTATGCATATGTCCCAGAACCTGCCGGCGGATGAAAATATGATCGATGCACCCTCGTCCAGTTCCGTTTGAAACCTCTCAGGTTTTTTCTAGTTTGATGTTCTCGAGCTCCAGTTACATGTCGGATAACTATGGACCCTAGGATCTTAGACGCAATTTTAGCCAAACTAATTCCTCAATGTGTCACAAGAAGACTCCTCTCCCTTGTTATAAACTGGCATGATCAGTAAACTACACCAGTCTGATGGCACTACCTCTGATGCCCATACACTAGCCAAAACCTCCATCACTTTAACCACCAATTTCCTGCCTCCATCCTTGAAAACTTCAGGTACCAAACTGTCATATCCTGCCCCTTTGTATCGTCTCATGTTCGTTACAGCATTCCCGACATCTACGTTCCAACTAGCTTCAAATTGCATGTTGGCCAACTGAAGCGTTGCTAAGAACCAGTTGAACTTTGCTTCAAGGTGCTTCGCCCAACTTTTTAGTCCCCTGTCCTGGGAGATTATCAGCATTCCATCCTTTTCGATGGTGGTTCCACTCAACATCATGTTCTTCTTGTCGGTATTCTCAATAAACCTAAATGGTTGCCGAGTATTACCCAACGATGATGCTTTTTCCAACTCTTTTAGTTTTGACACCCACCAACCACTACTCACGATCAATAGGAAGTCTTCTGGTCAACTTACGTCTAAGTTGCTTTCGATCTTCATCGTGGTTTAAGCCAGCTGGAATCAGTCTCCTCGCATCAATCAGTTTGGATGACGTTACGGAAATCCAATAATGATTGCTAACCTTCATGTGTAGGTTATCAACTGTCTCCACCTCTGTTTCTAGAGCAGACGTAATATAACGCCAGGTTTCCTCAGGACCAGCACTGCTGTCACGTTCAAAAGAATGTTAAGCTTATTTCTTGCTAAATACGTATTTGGAGTCCTCATCTCCCAGTGGTACATAAAAAGGCTTTACTGTAGCCTGTTCCCTGTGACCAGTATGGCGCAGACACACCAGCTCCCACTAGTACTCAAGAAAGAGCAGCAAGCCTTCACCGATGCTCTCCAATGATGGCTTAAAACAAAATGATCTATCTGCGCTCATGGTCAGTCAGAGGACGCCATATGAGACAGCTCCTTTTCTTATGCCGAAAGAAAGTGCTGGTCAGAAACAGGTGAATGTCAGAATAAAATTGCAACAGATGATCACTACTGTCAGCTCTTTCGCATGGGATTCCGTAAACATCACCACGATGCCTTTCCAAATGGCTCAGCTCAGCTTCCCTACTTGAGCAGTAAAGTCAACTGCCATTATGACTAAATCTAAACGTTTTGCTTTCCGTGGTAAAACTGACAGCTTTTCACAGAATTCATCCTTTGGATCACTCGAACTGAAGTCAGTGGGTGTGTAGGCGAAGATTATGAATAGGCATCGCCTAGTCTCACAATCCTTCCTAGTTCTCAAAGATCCATTCAGACGAACAGCACATAGAAGGCTTACTGGTATTCAGTCTAGAAACATACTTTCTGCTCTACAACTCAGTGCTATGCCTACACCAACGAATTCACGAGAGCTGGCCACTAAGTCTTGGGATACTCGTAAGGAGAACTTTGAAGATTCACTGCACTAGTCAGGTGAGGTTAATTTAATAACCACACTTGTGTAAACAAAAAGGTCACGGGATATCTGCTTGAGGTTTGTCACACTGCATTTTTCGGGGAGCGGTCTCGAGATTTGGTTGTCCTAACGTTGGAAGGAGAAAACCCATATCGTCGGCATCGGAAAACGGTCGGACAGAAAGACGTGTGCCATTTTTGGGACCAACTTTTTTGAAGCCCCGCTCCTATAGGGAAGGCAGTATCAGCATGATACTGCAGGTCATCCAAGGGAAACACCTTACTGGTTTCAAACCTCATCCAACCAACAGTACTACTTCGCCCCCCCCCCCATTACAGTGCAGAAATCTGCATTACAACGGTAACTGCTTTTCGTTTTACCAATATCCAATAGACCCTTCTGGTATGGTAAGACCTCGAGGGAACAAGTGTTCCTGACAGTATAGTTCACCGGGTTACTATGATAAGTAATTCCGACCACGTCAAGGTAGCAGCCATCAATCAGGTTTTGTTTCCTGAAAAGAAATCAAAAGACGATCATTTAAATGGTCATTGAGACAGTCGTTTTTGCCGATTGAGAAAGAATCTTAAACACAGTTCTCTTGGCTACCATGCTTTATACAAAAAAGACTTTAAATTTGTAGACTTGATATTTTTTCATCGAATATGATGTAATACTTTATGAGGATGCAATGCAAATACACAGGTTAGCTGGAAAAAAATGGCACGAACCATCTAACTCCCGCTTAAATCCAAGAAACTTAAAACGTTCTGACAAAATTTTCGAGAAAACACCAACATTCTTGATCAGACAAAAGTTGCTTCACTTTTTATATAAACTAATGTGCCATTAACACTTTACCTAGCTTGATGAAGCATCGAAAATGCTTCATATTAGACCACATACCTGGATGGAGTGATAATAATGAGTTTCAGATAACAGGTTACCTAGGCGCACTACACACTAAATTGCAGGATTTCACATCCCAGACTCAAGTAATTGCTTTGATAACCACCTACTTTTATCAATCCCATGAAATGCTCTGATTGAAAACTTCATCAGTGCAACGTGTATGGACCTATAGTACAAAACATTGCTCCTAGACTTGGCTTTTACATATCAAATAGGAAATAACTGATCCCCATTTGCCAAAGGCGATCGTGTAGTAATACTTTTGAAGTTCCGTACGTACAAATAAGATAACCATTTGGTTCCCCCAAGAAGTAATGTATGGCACAGGGAAATACAGGCTATTAGTGGGTATGTAATTAGACTAGACTGAACAGTCGATAGTAATGTGTCTACGGAGGAGGTTTGAAAAATTTTAAAAGCTACATTTGACGATGCATCTTAACAGTATACACATTGGTATTCTAAGCCTCCTCTACTGATTGACAAGAGTATCTCGAGACTTCTAAACAGCAGAAAACAACAATGGGACTTATTTTTAGAAGCAATTCATGGGGCCTTTAAGAACGAAAACCTGTGGCAAGTGAAGTTCCTCGGGTAACAACCCTAGATCCCTTCCTTTTCCTGTTAAACGTCGACAGATTACCATAAATAAACAACTCTCCGGAGCTTCTATTCACCAATATCGTGTAAACCGGGAAAATCAAACAATGATACTGGCAGATGTGCACTTCAAACGGAGTTACATGAACTGGTGGGTTAGTTCAAACGTTGGCGCTTGGAAGTTAACTCTTGTAAAGGTGCAATAATGTACACTGGTTTTAGTAACTGTTTCCAGTATTCTGTTGATGGTACACACACCATTCTCAGTCTTGGAAACAATTTTGTGTCATCATAATCCATTAGCTGAAAATACCCATGCACTGCATTGCAACTGTACAGTGAGGTTTCTAAGTTCTATGGTTCATATACAGATCTTTCGAGATATGTTCAGTACACTCAACTATGCATACATTAGACCTAACATGGAATCCCGTATTTAGATAGCAAGTACAGGGTTAGAAATAAATGCTGATGTGCTTGAGCATTTCCGAATAGAAGATACTACACTTGTGGCCTGCTTTGAAGTTTTACTGATGAGGAACGATTAGACCGACTGAATTTATTCCCGCTGTCTTACTGCAAGAAACCAGGTGGCCTCATTCTGGCAATCCGTATCTTTAGTGAAGGGTTTGTGACTGATATGTTTTGTCTTTCTTTTCATGCTAGGATTGATTATCTCAGTATCACAAGAAAGTCTGAAAACTTTGCGTGAATCAACTTAGCATGAGCCAAAAATTCTCTTACAGAGTGGTCAATGACTGGGGATCCAATCTCAGTCTGTGAAATCAGCTCCCTCAGTGAACAAGTGCAAAGGGGAACTAGATATTTGCAGATATATCTACTGTAAAGACAAAAACAGGACAGCTTGCCTGCTATCTTTATTACCGAATAACCATTTACCAGGAAAAAACTAGACATTTATCCGTATATTCAGCAAACAATTTACCTATGAGCAGAGGAGAAAGCACTGATTATGATTCCATCGCACTTAGAATCAGTCTCCAAACAATGTGAACAAAATTTTGTATTAAGAACGGAATGATGTGGTACGGCGGTGAGAAACAGGTGGAGCTATGTTATGCTGGTAATGATTGTAACAGCCAACCAAGTAAAATGTAAAAACTACAAACTTCTAAAGTAACTGCTTCATTAAAAAAAAGTCAGGAATAATAAGCATAATAACCAACTAGAATAAAGGCTAAATTTGAAATCCAGTTAAAGAATTAAATAATATATCGCAATATACATGCCAATATGTTGATAACTTAAGGGCAACAACGAAAACGAAATCCAAAAATAAGATGAAAACTTGATTTTAATCCCATAATTCTGTTTAGCAGAGTTCACGAATGAAGAAAGCTTATGTTTGAATATTACCAAACATTCCAAAAATACCCAAACTAATTTATAACGAGAAAATATTCATAATAACTAAACGCAGAATAAACTAATAAAGTTAATTACCATTCTTTAATCTCAGAAACTCGGTGATATCGAGCATTTGAGCCTAATGTACTAGTCATAACGATGCAGGAACGCTGAAATCAGAAATGCGGCTTTGACAACCAGTGAATTGTAGCTTATTTAAACAAAGTAATTTTCTGAAGGTCTTAGCAGAGCAAAAAATTAGCCTGAATTTTGTGGTTTTTATTTATTTCAGTTAAACGCATCAATCTTGATTTCATACTCAAGAAGTATTATCAACATCTAGAATCAGTATCTGACTTTTTACGGTCGAATGTCGAAAAATTTAGAGGTTTCTTCAGGAACTCAAATGGATGAGGTAAAGCGCAAGAAGATAAGAGAAAGTGGGAGAAAATTATGATATAAATAAAGAAAGTAATAGTAATAATATTCACAAGGATGTAACTGCAGATATTTAGGAATGTTCTGGTGCGAACTTAACAGTCGCAGAGGCCAGTCACTAATTGTTTGTACCTGTTATATACCAACGAGTACGAGACCAAGAAAGAACACACCAGCATAGGCCGCGGAATAGTATATTTGCGAGGCCGTGCCAAGATACCGATGCATTCCAAGTGACCGGCTAGGGGGCCGGTTACGAGCAGTGCAACGTAACACGACAGCGTACCAAAGGCGAGAATGCTTGACCGGGTCCCTTCAGCTTAGCGCGTCTGGTTAAACTATGAGGGTCAACATCAGTGTTGAATCTCGTCGAGCCCCAGGCAATTGATTCTGGAGAAGTATATGACGCCACGGATATAAAACTTCGATTTCAAGGAAGATTTGGGTAGGTTTTTGAAGCGGGTAGAAAGTTGAACAGTACCAGCAACAATGGTCCCAATGAAAGGTTGGCACGTAGATAAGGTGTGAGTGAAGACCATGGCAATGCAAGCTAGTTCCGTTGGCCTTGTAAGTTTCCTAGATGTATGAGTGCAGCCCATATGTTACTGCACAGCATATGTTACTGTTACAGCTTTTCCTTGAGACTACCAAAAACCAAGCGATGTATACATCATCTTACAGGGAGCTTCAACTGCAATAAATATTAAAACTGGTGAAACGCCGTCATATACGGACATTAGTTTTGACAGGCGATTCTGTTTGGGTACCTACATGATTTGCACTGGTGACCGCCGCATAAAATTTCCTTCATCCGGTGATTTCGGATATTTGGAATCGTCAAGCTATTGTGTACCCTCCGAAAACTCGAAGCACATGGAACGAGGCTCTTTAGTCTACATTCCCATGGCCTTCGGTGTACTCCAACAACACGTCTTGTATCACGTCTCTGGACACCCTGCAAGAGGTCTGCAGACTTCTTCAAGCATGTCCCAGCAGAAATCTTTGTGAACTTCAGGGTGATTTCCCAATTACTTCTTACAGGGCCTGGAAAGAGCTCCGAGTTTCAGGCACCTACCCGGCAACGCGCAAGTTGTAGTACCACATAACCCTTAGCATTCCACACACAGGTAATCTGGGCCGGCACTTGGTTCCTCGTGAAGATAAGGTGCTGACCTTCTTCAATGGTTGTTCCAGGAAGGTTTGTATTAAGGAGGCAACACGGTGAGCTTTACAGATCACGAGTGCGTAAGAGCTTCTTTCAACATTTTTCCGGGTTAAATGCAGATCTTCTCCTTTTCGCTTAGTCCCCAAAACCTCTAATGTTAACCTGCAATATTCTCAGGTACTTTGAAAATTTCGTAGTTGTACAGGGTCTACAGCTGTCAGCGCGCTGAAAAGCTAGGTAAAAGATTTCACGGAGTGCCGTTCACAAATTCCAGGAGCCGTAAAAATCCTAGGACGACTCACAGAGATGAGACATATGTGATTCCCTCCCGGTTGAGCATATCTCGTTGACTTTGTTCAGAATTCCCTGCTTTTTAAGTGGTCTTATAGGCCATATATAAACTGGTCGCTGCCACCCAACCCCGCAACCTTCGGCATAAAGGTAACTTGTGGAACGTCACGAAAAGCCTCAACAGGACTCAGAAAATCACTGGGATAAGAACCTAGTGGTCATAGCCCACCGCCCTGTAACTAAAAGCTTAAAAGCAGATCGGCCACCATCTGCGAAGCGATGATAGAAATCGTAGAACGCGCTTTTTCTACATAGGTATTCCATAATGTGGTTGCCCAGCGAGCTTTTCATTACTTTTGACACCGCTGATGGGAGGTGCCACAAGTTGGTAGTATTTGAGATCCTGTCTTCTTTTCGAAAGGCGAGGGGGGAAATGGCCCATTTACACTGTCATGGAAGACGGCGTTTGCCTAGGGGGCGCATAAATGGATGACACAGTTATCCGCATATCGCGTTTACGCCTTTTTCAGCATATATGGGTGAACATCGTCATGTCTTCGGGGAATCCCTACACAGAGGTTCGAGATCTTTTCGAAGGCCATACCAAGAGCTACTTGCAATGTGCCTGTTCCCTCTACACAAGCCATGACAGTATGCAGAATAACTGACGCGTTATTGAGCTGTTTGAAGTGGCACTAAAAGTTTCAACCATTCCGACCTCAGAAGGGTTCTTCTCGCGCATGTCTTCTGAAAGGAAGTGGCCAAGGATGGAAATCAGCATTCAGGGTCATTCTTTTTGGGTTGTAGGTAGTTTCGTCTCAGATCTTGATTTATTTCCATGTATAGCCAAATTAATTTTACTGAGCAATTTTGTCCTTCAGCTGCTTGGCGATCTAGTGGCCTCATTTTCCGAGCAGAAGCTGTGCATGAATACCGTTTTTTGTCAAATGACATCGTTATCCTTAAGTTGGTCGCAGACCTGTCTTCCGTCTTCCGATGTTTTGCGGCCCAGCGAAGTCTTGGTTGTGGAGGAGAACAGTCACATTACCCTTATCCAGTCCCAGTACCTCCGTGCGTTATTACCCGTTCCGCTTATCAGGGCCCTTACAACCCACGTCCCAGCCCCACACAGACACATCACTTTTGATAACCCATTCTCCTCGGGTGAAAAGCTTTTTGTTAGCTATAAAGTGGAACCTGTGCACCAGGATTGCCTTCGGTTTCTAGGCAAGGTTTTTCCTGGCTTAACCCTTGTCTCATTCACTGATGCTAATTCTAGTCAAGCTCTGGTACCCAAAACAGCAACACAATCTATTAGCGAACTGGCTACTGTACAAACACAATGGAATGAGGAATACCAAAGCCCACAAACTAGCCCACTCACACACAGACGTAGAGCCGATGACACGACGGTAGGCTTGGACAAATCGATGAACTACACTCAAAAACAGGCACACGATCTCCTAAAGGTGGTCTCACTGTCTACAGAAGTGGAAAGCCAGTCCCCGTCTTACCCCGTCACACAGGTCACCCCCAAACCAAGTGCTACGCTATCGACCCAACAAATTACTGAAAACGTTATTATGTCATCACCAGGTGTCACTCAGCCTATAAACATACCCAGCACCAGCCACAAGCACCCTGTTATCATAGGACCGCCCCCAAGCTTAGCGCGTAAACAGTCAAATCTATCCCCACCTCAGCCAGTGCAAAACTTATATGCACCAAATAGGCAGATGATAAAGAGTACAGATAGCACTAGACACTCTTATACAAACCCCACTATGCACCTACCCAGGTTAAATAAACTGCCGAAAAGGCAATCAAGCAGTCTCACCAATAGACGAAAAAACAATACAAATAGTCAAAAGACCATTGCACCCTCGCAAAGTCACACTAGGGAAAATGCCAAACGTTATTTCTCAGGTCATCCTATGACCAAGTCAAATAACTACTCTCCAGGCGACCCACACTTCTTAACACTTCCGCGGTCACTAGCAGATACACATCACCGCCGGACCCCTCAACGATCACAGTTATTGGATAGGGAGCAAAATGGTAGTCACAGACTATGCTTTCCGCCTCACCCATACGCCGAAAGACGTGGGTCATACGCCACACAAGGACAAACTTACAACAGATCCCCTAAAGAAAATCAAGGGGAATATGAATCTGTCTATGACCAAAATGCATACGGCAACCAGCGGACAGGTGTGCCATACAACTTATCAATCCCCGTTACTTCTTATGAACAGGGTTTTTTCGGACAGCCTACGGCTGCAACGCCACCAGTAATGCAGGTGATTCGGATGCTGTCGGATCATCTGCTCTCTACCCTGACCAACAGTCTCTATACCAATCACAATGTAGTGAATACCTCGCTCCTTCCGAGGTAAACAGTACCGAATCGTCACCCTGTACAAAAGGTCATGACATCGCTAGCACGATGTACGCAAAGGACGCCCAAGAAACGTACCAAAGTGCTGACTTTCTCCGAGATATATCTAAACACTTTTGTACTATTAACTCGCTCTCGTTTTGCCTGATTAACGCCCGCTCTATACGCAACAAAATGAAAGAGATTATGCTGCTATCTCTGATAAGTGGTCCGTCCGTGATAATGGTTACAGAAACTTGGTGTACCAATGATATTTGCGACGCAGAGATCTCCATTGACAACTATTCCTTGTTCAGGAAGGATAGACTGCATGGTAGGGGAGGAGGGTGCATTATCTATGTAAAGTCTGACATCACTGCTACGCAGTGCCCTACATCTGAGCTAAACGAGATTGACGACTCAGTATGGATTATCGCAAAACTTACTCGCTCCACTTCCCTCCTAATAGGATGCATTTACCGGCCCCCTTCCTCCTCAGTCGAATACGACGACAAGCTAACAAGCGTGTTCGCCCGTGTGGCAACACTACCACACACAGCGAAAATTATATGTGGTGACTTTAACATGCCAGATATAAAGTGGCGACCAATTAGCTATCCAGAGCGCTTTGATAAATTCATAAGCATTCTTGAAACAGAGGGTTGGCAACAACATGTGGAACACCCTACCAGGTACAATAGTGTCCTGGACCTAGTCTTCACAAACGGAACCACACCCACAAAACTCCAAGTGGGTACACAACTTCCAGGTAGCGATCACAAGGTTGTATATGGATACTTCAATATAACCAGCACAAAAGTGGCCCAAAAGTCAGGAACAGTACTAACTAGAAATTACAAGTATGCCAAATGGGACGAACTACAATCGTTTCTGCGCTGCCTAGATTGGAGCCCCTACTTTACCAAC